GAAATCTAACTTCTCAGCAACTTCATCAAGTAATGGATCATTAACATCAGTTCCTGATAATATGGAAAGTAACTGACGACATTCTTCGTCCTTCATGCGACGACTCAGTGAAATACGTTGATTTCGCAGATTATCAGAAGGGACTTTATTTGTATTCTGAATTGTTAATATAATTTGACCATTATTCCAAACTTCGTCGCCCATTTGAGGTAGTAAGGGTGAAATATCCTCGAGAATTTCCACATTATTTACTATAATCCACCACCTTTTCCAATTCTTGATTCTGCTTTCAATCAGTGATCTTAAATCTTTGATCTTTTCAACTTTTGGATTGCATGAATTCATTACAGTTATCAATGAACTCTCAGAACAATTTAGACGTCGGCAAAAATCTTCATACGAGTGCTGAAGAGCGTCTAAATCTTTTGCTTTCAATGTCATTACAAATGTTGCTTCTGCTTCCCAATTCGCGCTTTTAAGCAAATCCTCGCCAAGTTGCCGGGATAGCTGCGATTTTCTACTTCCGGGATTTCCGGAAATGTAGAAATATGTAAGTTTGCCGTCGCTATCAATGCGCAACCTCTGCAGTTCTTGTTGTATTTCCTTGATCTTCTCAGAACGGTAAACAACTTCCTCGCTTGGCTTTGGGGGTAAAACATGAAATGATTTGTAAAGGTTTCTCTTAATTTTCATTTGCGTAATATCACGAACTGGAAGACTGAGGGATTTAAATGCCTTTTCGACATCACTGATCATGGTTTGGAAGTCAGCATCAGATAGAGTTGTGTCATCAGCATGCATAATTTTATTTCGCATATTTCGAATATTATCGACTTCAGTCTTAATCGTTGGATTAAGGCTTGATTTACCAATCGAGTTGGAGTACAGAATTGCGTCAAAAAGCGCAGAGCAATCCCATTGATTTGTATCTCCATGTTGAAATTTCTTCAGGTACATCTTCATGTTTGGTCGTGACCGTGTATTTTCTCGATGAAACAATTGGTTACCACTAGCACTGGTGTCATCCCATGCTCCGAAGCTTGCCTGATAACGAGTGTTCCATTCGTTTTTAAAAACGTTCCTCAATCCTTCGCTGACAACATCAATGATAATATTCTGCATACAGATGTAGTTTCGCTTCCCTTCGTTTTCCCATGGTACATCTGACATATTTGGTTAAAAATGTTTGAAAAATATTTTTAACATAAAGAAATAAAATCTAAATATATTGTTCGAAAAATAGAAAATGTGTTATTTTGTTGTGTGTTTTCCATGAAGAATTTTTATGGTTTATCTTATTAAATCCGAGGATAAATTTTTTAAAAGAGTAAAACTAGGCTGAGTGTATGGTATGAAGTCATGACAATGAATGGCAGATATTCGAAATACCTGATCCTAACATGAAGTACCGGAGATTTAATGAGGTAGTTTCTGCAATGATGGATTGTTTTTTTCCCAATAAACCAACTAGTGTTAGGGAATCTGATAAACAATGGATGACGTCATCGCTTAAGTCCTCCATTAGTAAGCGACAAAAATCACTTCATAAGTACGGAAGAAATTCACAAGCATATAGATTTTGGCGCAATAGAGTTCAACGGGATGTTAAAGTGGCACGTAGAAAGTACTATGCCAATTCCGTGCAGAAGTTGAAAAGTGCAAACCCTTCCAGATGGTGGAAAGAGGTTAAATCCATAGGGGGCCTATCTTCTCGGGAATCTTGGGTACATCAACTACTTTCTGAAGTAAACCCCACCTGTGAGGACCTTGCTGAGTCATATAACGGATATCTTGTTGGACTTACTTCGCATTTTAAACCCTTGTTAGAATGCACCGATGACCAGGAGACAGAAGTTCCCAACCATCTACTCGTAAATATAGGGCAAGTTTATACAGTGTTGCGACGTCTTAAAACGACGAAGTCTCCTGGCCCAGACGGTATCCCAAATAGGATCCTGAAAACCTTCGCTTTTGAATTTGCCCCTATCATAATGGACATATACAATACATCAGTGCTCCAGGGAGTCTTCCCTGATCAGCTAAAACGTTCTATCGTCGTTCCCATTCCAAAAGTGTCACCACCTCAGACTATTGAGGACGATTTAAGACCTATATCACTCACAGCTCAGGTATCTAAAGTGATGGAAGGATTTATGCTACAGTCCCTTATGTCGGAAGTGGGTCTTAAATTGGACCCAAAGCAATTTGCTCTTCCGGGAAAGTCAACCACTCAGGCACTCGTTTATCTCCTCCACTTGATTCATGCTGCTTTACATCAAGGCCACTGCTCTGTAAGAATCTTTTTTGCTGATTTCAAAAAAGGTTTTGATCTCGTCGACCATAATGTCATTATTGATGAACTTTTAAAATTACAAGTGAGTCCTGCCATTATAAGATGGATAAAGTCGTTCCTTACCTCCCGCGAACAGTGTGTTAAAATCGGACCATCCTTTTCCTCATGGAAGCCCGTTAACGGTGGCCTACCTCAAGGAACTAAACTTGGCCCTCTTCTCTTTGCCATTTTAGTCAATTCCCTCCTACAGGACTGGAATGGGCGGATAAAGTTTGTAGACGATGCTACTGCACTAGAAATTGTTCCACGTTGCTCTCCTAGTTTGCTACCTATTCTCGTAAATGATGTATCTCAGTATGCCTCAAGTAGAGGAATGAAGCTTAACAGTAAGAAATGTAAGGAGATGACAATATCCTTCCTCCAATCCCACCTTCCACTTGATAATGCGATCTATATAGATGGTTCGCCAGTGCAATCAGTATCCTCCTTTAAACTGCTCGGTGTGCTACTGAGAGAGGATCTATCTTGGTGTGATCATGTCGACTATGTGATTAAAAAAGCAAATTCTAGACTCTATGCATTGCGGAAATTAAAAAAGGCTGGCTTAAGCGATAAAGACCTTGTCACTATATATTCCTCCTTCATTCGGTCCCGAATTGAGTACGCTTTACCTGCGTGGTCAACGCTGACCCAAGGCCAGTCTGACCTTATCGAATCGATACAGAGAAGAGCATTACGTATCTTGCTTCCCGAAATGTCGTATCAAGACGCATTGAATTATACTGGTCTAAAAAAGTTAAGTACGCGTAGACATAATTCCTGTGAACAATTTATTCGGAAATTGAAGTTTGACAATGGTCCTATAAATCCTCTTAAGGATGTTGTTGCAACTCGTATACATCCAAATACTCATAATTATAATCTTAATTATAGTTAATAACTTAATTATAATCTATAATCCGAATCAAGCTGGTCACTCCAAACGAACACAGAACGGTTTCAAAATTTTATAACTGTCAAATATAATTATTAATGTATTATTGATTTAGTAGTACTCGTGTATATTAATTCAGGGACCTAATTATAATTTGTGGACAGATTTAAACTGACTATTCAGAACGAACATTGAACGGTTTGAACTCAATTTTATCTGTAAATTTAATTTTTAATGTATTTACTTATAATCATGTAATTCAGTAGCGACTGCAATGTGATTAATTAAACAGATTATTATTATTATTATTATTATTATTATTATTATTATTATTGTAATAAAGGAATTGCGATGCTTGCTTCCCGATTGCCCAAACATTCTCATGCACTCTATTTGGTTAGTGTGATATCATTAATGTAATGTAAAATTTAATTTATTTTTGTTGAGCACCACGAACTAATCAACACTTGCTGTTTAGTGACAACCTATTAAATAACGTTTTCTATCTGAGTGTTGTCTCACACATGAATGCATAATAATTAACACTATAATAATTACACATGAATGCACTGCTAATAACACTAATTAACACTATAATAATTAACACTATAATAACTACACATGAATGCATAATAATTACACATGAATGCACTGCTTCAAAATTTTGTCTAGCTTACTGGTATGTGCACTTCTTTGCACTGGCTTAAAAATCCTGGTTAGTCGGTACCTTTTATTACTATTGACATGCTAATGGATGTAAAATAAGATATTAACAATTTTTATTGAAAAAAAGTGGTAGTATTTTATTCCGGTTCATCACGTGAATGGTGTATTCCGATTGCCCGAGGAAAGATCCTTATAACACCCTACGGATTTCTCGCGTTTCCGCAAAAACGAAGACCTGTTGTAAAACACAGACAGGACTGGACCAGGAAAATGCGAACTGAGTCAGTGATTTGTTGAAACACGGACTCAGTCCGTGATTTTTAAAACATGGACTAAGTCCACGTTTAATTTTACTAACCGCGGAGTGAGTCCTTGATTTATACAAGATTTATATACACTCAGTAACAGTGAGAGTATCACTGGAAGATTAATTGAGTCCCGCTTTACAGTTTGGTTTCCTTATGGCCACTCTAAATTAAACTTTTGTAAATGAACCACCGGCCCATGCTTAATTTGAAATAAAGGCCTGTGTGTGGTGGCCTAGGGGAGCGATATCCATTTTTCTTTACCTTTTTAAGTTTTTCTTGTTTATTTTTAATTGTTTTATACTTTTTATATATATTTTATTTATTTATGTTTTAATTTTTCCTTTATTTCATATTTCCTGTGCTGGTACTGTGTACTTAGGTGAATATGATGTTTGTGATGTTATTGCGAGTGTATATCCACATCGGGCAAGCTCAAAAAATATGCCTGGCCACGGTGGAAATATTATTACTATTACTTTAATTTTGTAACTATTTTTTAAATTAAAATAAAATAAGAATAGTTACATGGCGTATCAGTAACATGTAATTTTTACATTAATTAAAAAAAACAATTCCGTGGCCTACCAGCCATATAATTTTTATATTAATTGAAAAAAAATCTATTTCCATGGCCTATGAGTGCCATAGACCATAATGCAATTCAAGCTTCAAAGAGAGAAAATATGGCTGCCGACGATATGAGAAAAAGGCAAGTGGATGGTTGGCAACTAGCACCTAAATACCTTCTGTGATGTTGACTCGGAGAACTACGTGGTGTGAGTCGGCTTGTCGGGAATTGTCGTCGATATACGAACGGTGGAGCCCAGGATACGCGCGGTTTGGTTGACTTAGCAACGGGAATAACGTTTTTGGAACGTTGTATTTTATAGAGACAAGCTATATTTTATAGAGACGCTTTATATTTCCCTGTTAAGTTTTGGGGACATTATAAAACACGGGCGTGGAAACGCGCTTATTATCACGTGATGTACGTGTGATGCGCCAGAGAACTGGCACTAGCGCGCGTTTTGAGAGAAAAGCAAAAAGAAAAGCGAAAACATGGCGGGAAAAAAATTGTTGTGCGACTTTGAAAGCCAGGGCACAAACGAACGTAAGACTTTTTTAATGTCAGATTTCTTTGATTAATTTTTAAAAGGAGCATTATTTTATGCTATTAATAAACTTTTTATGTAAGAAGCATCCGACGTATTTGAGAAAATAAGTTAGTTTTTCAATTATTTTAATGTGAGGGGCATCAAAGTTTATTACTTTACGCACGACAACAGAGATTAAAATCAATGCTGTCTGAACACTAGGTAGGCTTAGATAAGTTTGATAGCTTAAAAATGTGTGGAGTTTCTCTGGTTTTAATACACAATATGTACCAAGACCGGCTTTTACCGGCTTTTTTTGCTATGCTTAAATTTTGGCATTAACAAAAACATAAAAAGCCTACAAATCGCGGTCAAACTAAAAGTCAATGTCAACATTGCAACACAATTTTTCAGTAAATTAAATTCTTAAAAAACTTTAGGTGAACATAGTTGTTTTCAGAATTTTTAACCCTGTCAGCATAATTTATTTATATTACTACCACTTTTTTGTAAATCCGATAAGAAGTGTCTTTTCAAAGCGGGCAAAAACTTTCTTTCTATAAATCCGATAAGAAGTGTCTTTTCAAAGCGGGCAAAAACTTTCTTTATATACATTGCATTAAAGTTCTCAGTTTACTTTTTTCATGCATGGACAAAAATGTCTTGTTGATATTTCAACATAATGTCTGCAATCAGTTTCAAAAGTCTTGGGACAGATGCCCCCCAAACCTTTGAATTTCACCAAACGACAATCCCCCCGCCCCCTGTTCAATGTTGTGTCCCATTTCTTGTCGGGTTTGATGTGTTTTGGTTTAAACAACATTGACTGGGTGGGGGGAGGGGAGCGGTATTGTGTGTAAAAAACTGTAATTAATGATCCACTTACAAGCTAAAACTACATGTGTCCCAACAACTTCTGAAAGTGATTGTCTGGGCCCCATATGCCATAACATCATTGTACATCTCAAAAGTACAAGGGATAGAATGGTCTGCGAACGAAGTATTTCAGCTCCATTTCGTTCACAGAAGATCTAGTATAACATTATAGAACAATTAAGTTTCATTAAAATTCTCAAAGTTAATAATTAACAGAATATGGATATAATTTTTTATGTCATATAGCATTCTTAATCATGCACAAAGTTTTATACGTTGTTTGTTTCTACAAATTTCGGCAGAGCACAAGCAGGTCATTTGAGAGGTTATAGTCCGTCAATAAAGATAGGTATCGCAAATGTTTTACGCTAGATATGTCACACATACTGTTTATTTTGTAGCATAGTAATATAACATCCGGTTACTCTCGCATGCGGGTAAGGGTTCGGAGTCAACTGCTAATTTGAGTACTCCGAAGGTAAAGAACGTTTGATTTATAATCACCAATAGTGAATGTGACATTTCACATCT